GTAAGAGGATTGTGCCAGTGAGGGGTTCTAGATCTTAAGATTCATTATTTCATGGTAATTACTTAAGATTAGAAATGTAAATAGAAACATGGTATGTTCATTGTTCAATGACTACTCCCTGGGAGAGATATTAAATAATACTGAAACTTTGGAGTATTAGGTGCTGATGTGTATATACATTCTCTGTATATCAAAGAAAACATGTAATTCTTTAGGACCAGGCACATATTATGTAGACAAAAAAGTTTTAAAAAATGTATATATGTGTGAGTAACTATTTTAAATAAGAGAAGATTGAGACTTTTATGAAGAACTGACATACAAATAACTTCTCCCTAACACTCATTAAACCTCACCATTAAAAATGTTGAGTGCCAGGGACCGGAGATGTAGCTCAGAAATCTTAATATTTCAGTCATAATACGGGTTGTATCTTTTTATTTCATTTAATGACTCACATTCACTCAGGTGAACAGTATTTCAATTAAAGTTTTGTGGTACAAACATTAAATAATTCTACTACATTTTACATTGAGTATTTTTAGGAAAAAAGTTATCAGAAATTATTTTAGCAAAAAATAGCAAAAATTTTCAGATAATTATTTGCTCTGATCTGGAAAATATTTTTGGTGCCCACATTTACATATTTTGACAGTCACATGAATTTAATATAAAGAAAGCATAGTCTTGAGAAAAAAAGATAAAATAGTTGTTTTGGAGGAAATTATTTACTTCATGACATAATTCAAATGCATAAAATGAAAAATATTTTCAGAAAAATTATAATAATTTTATAAGAATATTAAAACATGATTATCACTATAAATGGTTGGAGACTATGCTTAGTAATGTTATCAAGTGTATCTAATATTCTAAGTTTGATCATGTTCATTGTGATGGAATAGGTCAAGACAAAAATTTGGGATTCTGAGGAATGATCTCTTGGATAGTCAAATTGAGTTAGCTGGCATTTTTAAGTTGATAAAAATTATGCATCTGATTTGCACATTCTAAATGTATGATAATGTTTACATGTGACTCATCTTATTTTGTTTAATTAAATAAAGTTATTTATGCAAAGCACTAAGAACATTGCCTGGCACAAAGAAAACCATTAGTGTATTAGTGCAACCTCCTACCTCCTAATTAAATTTAACAAAGATATTAGATATATACTATTGTTCTCAGTGTTATGCTAAACTTTTTAATTAAGAAAGCATATCTTTTTGTTTGACTTTTAAAGATATAAGTTGAGTTTATGATTTAAAAAAAGCCTGGGGAGTAACGTTCAATCTAACAAATACGCATTCAAGTTTCAAGCTATGATCAGCAGAAATAAAAATAACCTTAAAATATTATAATTTTGTCTCTTGCTTTGGGGAATCTACAGCTTTGCTGCTGTGATTTGAGAATAAAACTATATGTAAATAAGTACTTTGTTGCTTTATATAAGTGATTAGTAGGTGGCCACTTACGGTAGGACAGTAAAGTGACCTGCAGTGGTCAGATATGATGGGAACTGAAATCTTAATGATCGCAAAGGATTTGGATAGGCAGTAAAGAAAGAGAGGTCTTCCTGAGAGAGCCAATATTTACTCATTCATAAGGAGAGTAGTTTAAATTAAAGTTTAACTCAACCTTTTTGAAAACTTGTCTCAGAATGATATAGATTAGACAGATAAGTCATCTCCCAGGGTTAGAAAACTGAATGGTAACTGTTTTAGTCAGCTTTTTCATGGCTGCAACTAGAAGACCCTATCAGAACAATTGTAGAGGAGGAAACGTTTATCTTGGGGCTCACAGTTTCAGAGGTCTCAGTCCATAGGCAGCTGGCTCCATTCCTCTGGGCTCAAGGTAAGGCAGGATATCAAAGGTAGAGGAATGTGGTGGAGGGAAGCAGTTCACATGATCATCAGTAAGCAGAGAGACTCCACTCTCCAGAAACAAAATACATACCCCAAAGGTACACATCCAGGGACCCACCTCCTCCAGCCACACCCTACCCTCCTTCAGTTACCACTCAGGGGATTAATTCGGTGATTGGGTTAAGACTCTCATAACCCAATCACTTCTCCTCTAAACCTTTATTGTCTCACACATGAACTTTTGGGGGATATCTCACATCCAAACCATAACAGCAACCCAAGATTGAATGCCAAATGTCAGGAGGGACTTGGGTTAGAAACAAGCTGGATGAGATAGTTGAGGATCAACACCAGTCCATATAGGATGAATGAATCTTATGTTCAGAAATCTTTATCTTGGAATTCTATTTTCCCTTTCACATTTTCTAAATCTCTCTTTTAAAACTGTTTGCTCATCTCAGACATTCTAGAGAGAGACAAGGACAAGAATATTTCTGTATCTATGTGTGGACCTCCATACTTTGGGGACTTGAATGGGAGTGATAGAAATCAAGAACCCAGAGGGAGCCACAGTCAAGAAGGCAGAATGAGAGATGGGCAGAGCTTGGGGGTGGGGTTCCTATGTTTAATTTGAGTGACTATCTATTCCCTTTCTTGTTCCCCACTGAGCAGAGTGGTAAGAGTGAGAACAAAGGGGCCTTGAGTGAGACATAGAGGAAGGTCCAAGTTCTGACCCTATTGCTTATGCAACCTTGGAATAATCCCACAAGCCCAGCTCCACCTGACAGCTGCCTCAGCTGGTATCATCCCCTCCCTGCTCAGGATGCTCAGGCCAGCCTCCTTCCCGCCTCCTGACTGACAGCTGTACTTGCTGTTGGCTCTGCTCAGATGCTCCTCCCCCCACAGTGCTTGGCACTGGCAGACTCTTTCTCATTGTTCCCATCTCGGGTTCCTATGCTATTTCTTCCACAGGGACTTTCCATTCACAAGACCTCTTCTTACCTAGGCTCTCCCATGTGTCTTGGTTCACTCTTTTGTGCTTGTCCTGCTTTCTGAAATCACCTTCTATATCTGTTTGCTTTCTTTCTTGTTGTCTGGCTTCCTGCCTCTAGGTTTTTGGCTCCAGAGGACCAGGTGCCTCATTTGCAGCTATTCTTCACACTAGCATCTGGCACCTGGTAGGCACTCAATAAATATTTGTTGAATTAATTGACTGTGACATGAAAGAGAAATTCAGTTATACAGAGTGCATGAGTGCACAGGTCGACACATGTCGGTCTATGCCTTGATTTATTTCACAAAGGGTTTGTGATAGCCTACAAGAAGCACCTGGTCTTGAGTGTAGGAATCTTTTGTTTTCTCATTTTATTAATGCTTATGTCATTTTCATAGTGATTTACTTTTTCAACTGCAGTCAAGGGTATAGATTTCACTTTCTGGTCCCCAAAGACTACCCAAAATGACCACTTGTTTTCTTCCTGTCTGATATATATATATACATATATATATATATATATATATATATATATATATATATATAATATTATATAAAATGTTATATATATAAAATATTACTATAAATGCTAGTTATTTATCAAATCAGGCACTGTTTCAATTTATTTCTTGTACTGGTGGATACAATATAAAAATCTAAGAGTAAATAAAAACAAACTATGTACTTTACCAGCAAAAAAAAATCAATGAGTTTTCTTCAACTTTGAGAGTCAACATTTCCATGATGTGAAATTTTAGTTAGTAAATTTACATCCCTGTCATTATTCATAACCAGTGGAGATAGGCATAAAGAAGTCAGATTTTAAAAATTTAAATGAAATAATTATAAGGAAGATTGCCAGCTTTCCAATTGCCTGCTATCATCCTGCAAGAACTCCTTTTGCCATTCAAAATTAAAAAATGTGTATCTAATTGGTTTGTTTTTTTCCTGGTGCATTGGAAGAATAGCAATCCGTCATTACTGTGGAGTCTAGGGAAACCCCACTAGTGTGGTTTTCAGTAAGTTGCTTATATTTTTATTTATTTTGTTTCCTTGTCTGTGAATTTAGAGACTTAGATACTCAATCAGGCATCAACTTCTAGCTCTGAAATTCCAGGATCCCTTGACATTTCTGCCTTCTTTTCTCTGTCTCCTTTAGTTATGTTTCAGAGAATTCCAATAGCTAATTAAAATAACCCTTTTTGAGTTTAGGACAATCAGAGAGCAAGTTTCCCACAGAAGAGACCACGGGCAATACTCTTGCCTACTGGGAACCTGCCAGTGCATGTCACAGTCACAACCATCTCAGACACAAGTCTGACCTGTGGATCACGGTCCGCTTGTTGGAGATCTTGTTCCAAAGATAAACACAGCATGATATGAGCCTTACCTGTTGAAGTTAAAGAGTCTTTCAATTAGAACAGACCATTTTCAACCCTATCTCAACATTCAAGCAGCATGTATGAGAGGTTGTTTTTATTATGTCGTCTAAGATGCAGTTTATCTCAAAGAATAGTCTATGAAACTCAAGCACTGGAATCTCTCCCCATGTATGGCTCAAATGCAGATTCCTTGGCTTCACCACCCACTGAATCAGAATCTGGTGGGAGGAGATGGTGCCTGGGATCTACAATTTTCATACATTCCCCAGATGATTCTTATTCTTACTCAGGTTTGGAAAATACCATCCTAACGAATTGGAAGTAATTTCTCTCTAACGTGTGTGTGTGTGTGTGTGTGTGTGTGCGCATATACAGGTTGCAGCAGGTGTCAAAAGTTCTCTCCTTTTTTAAGGCTGAAGAATATTCCACTGTGTGTGTGTAGACATTTTGCTTATTCCTTTATCCATCAGTAGAACCTTGAATCGTTTCCAGCTTTGGGCTGTTGTGATAATGCTGCTATGGATGTACAAATATCTGCTCATGTTTTGAATTTCACTTCTTTTGGATATATGTCCCAAAGTGGAATTGCTATATCATACAGTGATTCTTGTTTTTAATTTTTGAGGTACTGTCCTACTGTTTTTTATTCTGGCTGAACTTTATACCCCTACCAACAGTGCACAGATGTTCCAGTTTCTCCATATTCTCATCAACCTGTTATTTTTAAAGATCATTAATGTTTTGATTTGTTTGTTTCAGGGATCTTCACCAGCAACATGTTTTGTTGAGATAAGAGTTCTGGAACAAGGTGGAATTTTTGTGAGTTTCCTGTAGTTTATTACTATAATTTGATTCTGATTAAAGAAAAATATTTTACTTCATAGATCTCTTTATTTAAATAAATGAATAGAGTACAATAGAATTTATGGTTTTCAGTTACACATGGGCTATAATATAGCAAATCCTGACTTATATCATGCTACGAATAAAAGCAAACACGTAATGGTGTAGACAGTAATCTGCAGTTTACTATGCATCACATTTTGCCTCTCTTGATCTCCACAGCTTCTCCACGCTACAGCCAGTTGTTTTTAAGAATTTGACATTTGACGTTTCTGCCTTCTTTTCTCCATCTCCTTTAGTTATGTTTCAGAGAATGCCTGAACTCAAATACAAATCTGATTATTTCACTTATGGGATTTGAATGACTTCCCAGTGCCCCAAAATAAAGTTTAACGTCCTCTGCATGACATACCATCCCCTCCAGCCTGCCTCCACTTGTGGCTTTCCCCTACCTCATGTTTCAACCAAATCAAGCTACATGCCGCTGACCACAACACCAATACGTTTTTTACTCTGGCTAGAACACCCTTTCCAACATCACCCAGAGTGACGTTACCAAGACTCAACTGAAGCATCACCTTTTTCATGATACCTGTCCCACCTCTTTCCTACAGTGTGAGGGAGATGTCTTTTCACTCTATCTCCCACCAAGTGGAAATGACCTCTCCTTTCTGCTCACTGTGACCAGGACAGTTTCTTTTTATAGTACCCACCATGTTTTACTGCATTGTTTTATGTGCCTGTCTGTCTCTCTTTCTAGACTATGGGCTCCTCAAGGGCAGAGTCTGAATCTAGTTTAACTGATATGTCCCAAGGGATTGGCCCTTACTAGATACTCAATAAATGCATTTAGAAGGAATAATGAAAGATGGATGAGTAAATACATGTGGGGGGGGGCAGGAAAGTGATGACTGAATTGGATAGGATAGGTATTAATATTCCTATAAGACTAAAAGTGATTATATGAGCTTCCCAAGGTCATGCCACAGTAATTTGGGGCTGAAACTCAAACCCAGATCTTCTAATGGAAGCCTTTCCCTTTCTACAGTATTTCCCTATAAATTTCAAAGGCTTGAGTTGGGAGCATAGCTCAATGGTAGAGCACCTGTCTAGTGTGTGTGAGGCCCTGGGTTCAATCTCCAGCAATGCAAATAATAATAACACTAATAACAATAACAATAATAAATTTTAAATGTCAACAATTAAAACACTGCATAAGAGGACAGTAATATGATTTCCTAAATTATTGAGTCTTTTAAAATAGATAGATATAATCTAATCTGATTCTTTCAACACACTTAATTGGATTTCTGTTTCCTTATGCTCCCACCTTGTCTCGTTTATGAAAGATTTTATTAAGATTCAGTCAGGGCTCCCTGTGGTTTTGTTAATAAAATATTGATATTAATATCATCCATATTCAAGCTGTCACAAGAATTTGCAAATTCTCCCTTCACAGTGCATTTTGTAATGCTTTCTCTCCTCCATTCTCCCTATTACCATCCCAGTGGTAGTGAAAGTACCAGGACATTGGATCCAGAAATACTGGCCTACATAGCCTTCTTGCAATGGTCACTCCCTAGTTATGTGACCATATCCAAGTCATCTCACCTGTATAAACTTCAATGACCTCAACTACAAAATAAGAATAATTATATCCACTTCACAGAAATTCTGTGAGTATTGAGACAACATGTCCCCCAGTGATTGGGCACATATTCAGCATGCAAAATATGTGAATTTCTTCATTATGTGACTTTGATTGATTAAAATTAGCTCTTTGCAATTAGACATTAGCTCTTTGCAATTTTTTTTGTTTGTTTTGTTTTGTTTCTCTTTTGGTACCAGAGATTGGATTCATGGGCACTCAAACACTGAGTCACATCCTCAGCCCTATTTTGTAGTTTATTTAGAGACAGAGTGTCACTGAGTTGCTTTAGTGCCTTGCAGTTGCTGAGGCTGACTCTGAACTCGCAATTCTCCTGTCTCAGCCTCCTAAGCCCCTGGGATTACAGGTGTGAGCCACCTTGCTGGACTTGAAGATCAAGTCTTGTCTTCCAAAGCAGACTGGGTTTTCTTGAAGGCAAGATCACTTTTTATTCATCTTTCCCATAGTCTCACACATTCTACATAAATATTTCTTGATTGCTAGCCATTCTTCTCAGACATGTATATTTATAAAATACTCTTCAGTAACTTATATGGGTTATCATTAACTATAAACCTCAAATAAAGCAAGGCCTTTTTCTAGCTCTTCAAGTGGTCGCCACAGTCATGAGATGACTGATTATGGCCTTTGCATGTTTTCACGGGGCTATGTCTCTATGGAAGAGGCGCAGACAGAGGATAAGAATAAAGCTTATTTAGCTTCACATTATCTGGCTTTTAGACTGACTCCATTCTTGATGAGCTCTGGAGGAATGAGACTTAAGATTAGATTATAGTCCTCTCGCAGCCTGCTATTAGAATCTAATATATACTGTACTTACTTTTCAGTTTGCATACATTTGATTGAAACCACGATTTTAAAGTGGATATTTACATGTACTCTCATGGTCTAGACAACTATCAGTTTTAGGGGGAGGCTGTCTGTCATGCTTTATACAAAAGGAGGAGTCTCCCGTTCAAGTAACCAATAAAGGAAAAACTACAGTAAGGGTTTTATGTATGCTTTCTTAGTTGATCCTTATAATGAGTCCATAAATTAATGATTATCTCCATTTTTTAAAATCTAAAAACAATAAAAACAAAATTGGTCTCCATAAAGTTAAGGATTGGTCCAGTATCTTACCTTACAGAACCAGGATTGATTCCCAAATTCCTGCTCTTATAACAATATTAGTATTTTGCAACCAAAAGTCAAAAGACAAGAAGATGGAAACAAATAAGCTGAAATGATGCACATGAATTAAAATAATAACAAATTCCATCATAGGCACAGGTAATATAATGCTTCACAAAAAGTTCATATTTAGTTGTGGAAGATGGCACAGGATAGATTCCCTGACCTTTCTTCCATAGCCCAGAAAGGAAACAGTGAAAGAACAGATGATGAGAGAGGTGGCTGATAGAGTAAATAATCCAAGACTCAATATTGGACAGTTTGAGACTTGGAGGGACTTAAGTTTGGTTACTGGAGCAGAAAATAAGGTCAGAAATCCTTAACCCTGAACCCAGACCAGGGTAGTACTGGGAGGGAGGAGTAACAGAGAGAGAGAAAGAGGGAGAGCAAAAGCCCATAAGCTTACTTCCTTATCAACAGCTGGAAAGAAAAACAGACCAAGTTGAAATGCTATGGGAACAGCAAAGACAGTAAAAGAGACCAGGCAGTTAAACTCAAATTGTGGACTAAAAGCTGAACAGAACATGGTGGCCATTTTGTAGACTCCATACCTAGCCAGCCTCCCTAGAAGAAATAAAATCAATGCAGTTTCTCTCCATCTTCACATAGCAACAGATAAAACCGGGGGGGGGGGGGGTATGCCTCTGAAATGGGATGTCTCAATAATCCATCTAGAAGGATTTGTAGAGGGATTGCTGCTGGCTGAAATTCACCACAGATATGGAATATTGTGGGTGGAGCAAACCCAAGAGCTACTCACTCCTGGGGAGCACTATCCCTAACCCAGTGCTCCATAAAAATTCTGTGGGAGATCAGGCAAAGATGGGAGTAAACGCCCAGGATTCACTACTGTGGTCAGTAAGAGCTCAGACACAGGCAGACCACCTGACTCTCTTTTCCAGCCACAGGGAGGATGGTAGCCCCGTGATCTATATCAACCTGCGCTGAGGCTTCTGTGCCTCAGATGGCCCTCAGAGAGCTCGCAATCTCAAACCCCACAATTGCAGACAGCCACTGGGCTCTATACCACTTTAAAGAAAACCCTGTGGAGGGGAATGAGTGCACAACACCCCACAGCAGTCAGAGTGAAAGTCCTGAGCCCTGCATCCTGTACTCTTGCACCCAGTAGAAAGAGACAACAGACTCAACATAGCACCCTCCAACACAGCATGTACACTTGGTGCCTAAGCTGATGATCAGGAATCGGTTGGTGAGAAATTCGTAGCACCAAAGAAGTAGCTCCTATTCCCCAGCACCTCTAGGAGGATCCAAAACTGCATAGTAATGGGCATCTTCTAAAGGTCCCCAATCCAAGAAGACTCAGTAAGTTTTCTCCACGTTGGCCTGGATTATCAAAAATAGCCCTAATGTCAATTTTGATCATAAGTATATTACTCTTCATTTTGATTTGGTAGTTGTTCCCTAGTATTAAATATTGTGACTTCAGTCCATCTGTTTGTATTTCTTCCAATGTTTTAAAGCATTAATTGGAATCATCCCCTTTTTGTTTTTCTGTATCAGGTTGACACTTGCTTCTCTTAGTCCCTTTTTCCCTTTCTTACATTACCTGCTGCTGCCTCAAATTCACCCTTCCCATACATCTTTTCCTTCTTTTTTCTTGGCTTGTATTATTCTTTCCTGTCTTCTCTTTATTTATTTTTCTTTTGCTCATTTTTACTCTCCTCTCCTTTTCTGCCCCTATATAGTGTAATAGTAATATTACTAATTTCTCAACCTATTCCAGGACATTACTATAATTTTATACCTGGATTAGAGGAACTGTGGAGAATGTTATCAACAAGTTTTTGTTTTTCCTAAGGTTGATCAATACATGGCTTTGCTCTGAAGTGTCTGTAGTAAATAGTACTGGGAAAAGCAGAAGACACGTGTTGAGTGAAAGTATCAATACCTGGATGTTTGCCCAGCCTGGAGTGCTTAAGAGAGAGAAGCTCACTAAACGGTCCTTTGCATAAAAGTAGAAGTGATAATCATCCCAATAGATGGGTAGATATACAAGCAGTATGAAAAAGCAAAGGAATAAACCACCCCAAACAACCCACAACATTGACACCACAGTGGAGGAAATGTCAGAGTAAGAATTTAAAAAGTTCACAGTTAAAACATTCAGTAATCT